GGGGCTGAGGCTCTGGGCGGGCTTCTCGTTTGCCTTCTTGCCCGACTTCGGAGCGAGAGGGGCACACGGGGAGAGCGCCTCAGCAGCATACTTCACAAGCCTCTGAACTCGGCAACGGCATTCTTTATAATACTCGATTTCTCTTTGGGACGGGGCGGGGATTCTGGCAGCAGCTTGTCTGGCCACCTTGTCCGCCCAGTCATTTCCTTTTGCAACGAACCAGCCCCTCGAGCCAACCACCAGGGACGACTGATCCTGGTGGGCCTTGACTTTCCCGATCTCGAGGGGCGCAAAGCAGCTCTGGGCCCTGGCCAGAACCGAAACTCCTGAATACATTTCCTTTCGTGAGACTTCGGCGCTCGGGTGCACCGAAAGGATGCCCTTGAAATCCGTCCACGCTTTGGTGATTCTGGGGCAGGAGGTAGCAACTAAAAACCCCGGGTGTTCGGCATCAGGCGACGCGGGGGGAAGACTGGCCCCCACAGGGCCTGAGAGACTGGCAACCAGGTCGCCGCCCTCGTCGATTTTGACCACGGACCAGGCGGGGGCGTCGTGCACCGCGGGCGCAGGTTTCAAAACGCGGCCGTCGTGGAAAACTTCTCCTTGCATGGCCACCTCCTTGGGCTCAGAGCTATGGGTTCAGGTCGAAGTTGAAATCCTGACACATCTGGAAATCCTTTCCTCGGGTCCTTGAACTCCCCGGTATCTTCTTCCTTTAACATTTCCTCTCTCAAGTTGTGGGTCTGCGGGCGCTCGAGGAGCCTGTGGGGGATAGAGTCCACGGGGCCCTTATACAGCTCGCATTCGACTTCATTCTGATAGCCTGCCTCGGCCATCTTTTCTTTAGACCAAATACACTGGCAGCCATATGAAAGCAGCGCCTTCCTTTTGTAGGCCTGCACTGCACTATCCTGCAGCGCGGGTTGCATGACCGACGGGTCGAGCGGCTCGTCGAAACCGAGCTTCTGCCCCGCCTTCACGTCTAATTGCAATTGCCACTGGGATTGAAACAGCTTCTTGATGAGAGCAGGGGAGGTAGTGATGAGAGGGTAGTCCTGGCCTTGCGAGTCTCGAAAGACGAGCGGGTCGGGCATGGACCACCCCAGACGACTCAAGCTGAGCAGCGTGGCCCCTAAGGGCCCTCGGATCTGGTACCATTTCGTCGGGGGCTTGTGGAGGACCTGGAGGGCTTGTTCACGGAGACCCACCAGAGGAAAGCCGACCGTACCGGGATAATGAGCAATGCTCCAGATCAGGTTGGCCCAATAACAGGCCGGCCCCAGAGCAGCACTCAACGTCGGGCCCCCCGATATCGACAATGCCAGGGACCTGGATCTTGTAGCGCAGCGGGGCCCTGCAATCTTGAGGTAGAGGGGCTGGGCTTCGCGTAACTCAGGGCTGGCGAGGCCGACGACCTCGGCGCCGTAGTAGGCGGATGTTTTCAAATCTGTCAGATAAACCTTCCGCATATTCGCACCTGCTCGCCTAATCTGGGCCACACGGTGGAGTCGACGTTTCATCTTGGAGGTTCGCTTCGCCAGAGTTTTTCGGGCCTTCTTCGAGACCCTATTGCCCACGGTGAAATCGACTCCGAGGTTTGGCGCAGACTGCGCTTGGTTGACCCCCTCTGGTCCACTGTACTTGCCTAGAGCTTTGGCCAGCCGGTTCTGGACTGCAGCAGACGAGCCCAGCACCGCAGCCTTGCGCAAGGCGACCGAGCAGTCGAGGTCTTCCTCGATTAAATCTAGCATGCTGTCGGCGGCCTGCGCCAGGTCCGACACCAACAGGCGAACGCTCGTGTTGCTATCCCAGCAGCCGATCTGATCTGGCCAGGCGTGATGGGCTCCAAGCGGCCACGCTCGGCCGACGGCAAGTTAAAGTCCTGCTCCTGCGGCGTGGCCTGCCACGATCCTGCGAGGCGGGCTGCCTCGGACTGGAGCAACTCTGAAGGCCGACCTGGACATGTCTGCAGCTCGGGGCGCCAAACTTTCTGAGGCTGCCAGGGCGTGAGCTTCGAGGTCCAGCGATGGGCCCAACCAACTCCCCGAGACATGGCCTCCTGGACCCAGTTGTTCCAAGACATTGTTTCACTTTGTCAGTCCTTGGCCTCCTCAGCCTGGAGCGCGTGATCAACTGCATCATCGAGCTCTTCAAATACCTTCAACACGAGCTTGGGATCCATCTGGTCATTGTCCTGGCCCTGGGCAGCAGCGCCTAGAGCAGTCCTAACACTGGCGAGCAAACGGGCAAACTCCTCGGTACCTTCGAGCTCTGGGGGTGGTGACTGGATGCTGGCCAGAATCTCCGAAAGGTACAACTCCTCCTCGGAATAAACCCGTCGGATGACATCCATAACTTTTGTTGCCAACCACCGAATCGGAATAGATAGACTCCTCCAACTGGCCCTGGGTTCCACCCCCCGAGCGGCTCCTGGTGCCCAGCGGATCTTTGGAAGGCCCACTCGCGGGGAAGTGGGCGACTTAATCGGAGTGTCCGTGCGAATGCTGATCGTCTTCGCCGCGTCCGAGGCGAAGTGCTGGCATGCCGAATCTAGGGCCAGCATGCGGGCCCCAATCCCAGACTCTCTATCAATGACCTGGCCCAGGAAATCCAAGGCGGCCCCCGTACGGCCCCAAGACGGCACATGGTTGTTTCGGCCCATAAGGCTTGGAAGTAGCGAGAAGTTGGGGCTTCTCCAAGACTGGCACCATGAAGGGCTTCCCTCAGCGCAGCTGGAGCAGCACGGGCCCACGCGGGCTCGCGGGGTACTCGTCCAGAACAGTGGCCCCTGAGAGGTCCTGGTCGAAACGCGACGAGGCGAGAACGAAGTCGATGATGGACTCAGACTTCTTCATCTTACATGTTGGTTTGGTTGGGGCCAGAATCTCAAGGCCTGCTCTCAGCGGGTAGTTCGACTCGATGAGCTTACTCGTCGGAACATTGAAATCCCCAGCAATGATGAGTGGCTGTCCTACAGCGTCCTGAATCATTGCGACCCCAGCTAAGAGCTTTAAGTTATACTTGTTAAGGCCCACCCCGTCGGCCAAGTAGAGCGATACTAGTGCGAATGGACGATGTCCAGGAAGCTCCAGTGAAACTGCTGTGCGCCGTGACTCTGCTACCCCTGCAGGCACTGGCACACGAGATGCTCCAAAGTCATGCCCGTCACGAATCAAAATCCCTGCCCCTTGGACTGGGTACCTTTTCTCACTGAGCACAGCTGGAGAGAGCATCGCATTCCACCCCTCTCGCTCACGCCATTGCACGATGAAAGGGAGCGCATCCTTCAACGCCCGAACTTCTTGACAGCAGATGATGCCCACCGTCTCGGCTGCTTTTGACTTCAGAAACTTCCGAATGGATCTCCAGCAGCTTCCATTGATTGTGGCGAACCTGACCGTGTTACCCACACGGCGTCCCGTCAGCCCCCTTGCCGCCCTTGCCCTTGTTGGCCAGGCAGAGAGCCTTCGCGCTGGACTGGAGCGCCGCGTTGGCCATCTGCTGCTGGGGCGTGAGCGCCGTGCTCTGGCCGCTGATGTTCAGAACCTGGTCGATCGCGTCGCCTGCGCACTTCATGCCCCGGCCCCGCTTGTCTGCCTCATCTTGGTCCAGCTGCATGGCCCCGGCCTCGGCGTCCAGGCTTGCAGCCAGCTCAGGGCTGACGTCTCCCGATGGGGTGGCGGTGACGGCCTGGGGCGCTGGCATGTGCCATCCGCGGCCAGCGACGGCGCCGTCGGGTCGGCAGCGGCAGCGGCTGGGCCTACGGCCACCTCCCGGGCGCCCGTCTGGGACGCTGCCGCCACCTGGGGCGCCGTCTGGGCCAGCTGAGAGCTGGCCTGGGTTGCCTGGGCTGCCTGCCACTCGTCGTGTAGCTTCGCCGACAACTGCATGACGGCCTGCTTCACCTCGGCGGACGGTGCGAGCCCACGCGGGAACTGGCTGGTGATGTACGTCTCCAGCGATGGGGGCCGAGGAGCTGACGTGCTCCTTCAACGCCTGCTCAACTGCCATCTTGTGCTGGGTCTCTAACTGCTGCGTCTCCGCTGTCAGGTCGGCGACGAGCTTGCACTGGTTGGTGTAGTCATTGGCCAGGGTGACCATGGCCTCACACGTTTTGTCACAATTCTGTTGGGCACTGAGCAGCTTCTTCTTGGCGGCTTCGAGCTCGTCGTGCAGCGACTTCCGCTGCTGGTCCCAAGGTTTTGCTGCCAGTGTCGATGCTTTCACTGCTTTTAACTCCTCCACGGCCTGCAGGTAGTGACTCCCTTTGATGCCTTCCATTTTCTTCCAGAACTGAACAGTTGCCGAGTACACAGCAACTGGATCTCGATCTGGCTCATCGGGTTCACGCACAACTGCAGCTCCTTTTTGGTGGCCCTTCGGCGCTGGGCTGGACGAGCGCCTGCACCACCTGTTGGGAGTGCCGCCGGATGTATTCTGTGATTGGGGGGCCGAAGCAGGCTGTCCTGTCTTTCGTCCTATGAAGGCTGAGCCACACTGACCACAATACTTGAACGGCTTGTCCGCCCATGTCCATTTTTTGCATCCACCAGACAGGCGGCAGAGGTACTTCCGTCCGTAGCCTCTGCCACGGCTTGGCTGTCGTTGGCCGCCCATGTCTGATGGAACGAGGGAGGCCCCAGGCTTGGCTGCTGGCCTGGGGCTGAGCTTGATTGGCGAGAAAGCAGGCGCCACCTGCCTACGGTAGGCTAAAAAGATGGAAGCAAACGCCACCTGCCCACGGTAGGCTTCGAGCCAGAGCGGCTTGAGCCAGGAGGGGGAGGAGGAGGCGGAGGAGGCGGAGGAGGAGGGGGAGTGGCGAGGGCGGTGGGCGAGGAGGAGGGGGGAGGAGGCGGAGGAGGCGGAGGAGGAGGAGGCGAAGGAGGCGGAGGAGGAGGAGGAGGAGGCGGAGGAGGAGGAGAAGAGGAGGAGCGGCGAGGGCAGTGGGTGAGGAGGAGGGAGGGTGAAGACGAGGGCGAGGAGGAGGCGTGAGTGCGAAGGTCCGCAGTGTTCCATGGCGTGAAGATCAGCCTCGATTGGGTGGTCCACGCGATGCCCCTCGGAAAGCAGATTGACGCCGCGTTCGCGTCCGTGCCCTTGTACGCCAAGAGCGTGAAGGACGCCAGAATACGGTGGAACGCTCGATTACCCCGGCTGGGGTCCTCCTGTGGCGCGCACGTCGGGCCCGTTTTCTTGTGGAGGAGCGGGACGGCCAGCCTGTTATGAGCTCTGGCGTCAAGGGGCCAGTTTCGGGCACGGTCTGGGCGCAAAGCGTAGCCCGTCGGCGCGAAGATCGTGCGGGAGATGGGCTCGATTGTTCTGGAGTTCCACACACATGGGGCAAGACCGTTCCATCCCGCTTCTTACATCCCCAAACGCAACTGCTACATAGCAGAATGGCTGCTCTGATCCCATCCAGGCTTCACAAAATGGGCCAGAGCAGTCGGGGGTGGGTGGATGGCGTCGCATCGCCGATGCATCGGCGATACGGCCCGATCTGGAGTCTGGAGACCACTCTTCTCCATCCCGCCGTCGCCGATGCATCGCCGATGCGGGGCGGTCCTCCGACCCCACGTGATCCGACCCCAACTGGAAGGCCTCCACTAACCCCAAAGCATCTCGACATTCTTGGTGTCAGCTGAAGAGGCCCTGGCGAACAATGCCCCCCCCACAGTTTGATCCGGACCACCACTCAGTCAAAATGAAGTCATCCCCACTTGGGCCTCGCATGTCCTGTCCCGCAGCTTTTTAAGCCTTGCGGCCAGCTTTGAGGAATGCACGATCGGCATGCTTGTCGTCGCGCCAGGCTTTCGCGCGCGTCGTAGCGCGCTCGCAATGCCAACAAGAGATTCAGATCGGCCGCAAGTGGATCGTCGCGGCTGCGGGCGCTTCAGATCGAATAGCTTTACTTTCGGCGCTCAGCATACTTTCACATTCTCGATTGTGGTGCGCGCACCGAATTTGGTGCTGGCGTCTACGCTTATGAGGCGGCTGGCCTTCTCATCGCTGAAAAGTTAATCAAACTGTCTCAAGACAATCATTTCCTCCATTTCTGGCACGGTCTCAAAACAGTTTCAAAGTAGTTGTGACACATGTGCCACATAATTTCGTATACCTTCGCGGCGAGCGAGAGAGGGAAGTGAGAAGGAGGAGGCCTTCTCGGAAGGCTCAGAAGTCCCCCGGCCTTTTGAGAGGTTTTCTAAGTCTTCCCCGAAGACGCAGAACTTCTCAGAAGGCCGGAGGGCTTCTGAGAAGCCCCGCCGCCTTCTGAGAAGGCCTTTTCTTTCTCACTTCCCCCCCCCTCGCTCGCCGCCAAATAACTCGAGTACCCCAGGAAAACAAGTGTCGGGGTGTTGTGTTGGGTCTCCTGCCCCGTCGCACCATCGCGGTTTCGAGAACCTGAGTGCGAGCGGCGCGCCGTGCAGGGGGGTACCGAGCAGAGCCCCCCCCCTTTCGCGAATTCGCGGGGCTAGGGGCGGCGATCGCGGCCGAGCGAAACGAGCGCCGAACATTGGTCGTAAATCGTAACATCTTTCCCGCAAAATGCATGCAGTTGGATAGAGGGCGCTGGGCATCACGCCCAGCGCGTTCACGGCGCCACATGGCGGGGCCAGGGGGGAGGAGATTCTGAGGATGGAGGGGGAGGGCGACTGGCGAGGGGAGGAAAGGGAATATCAGCGAGGGGAAGTAGTCTCTGGCGGCCCTGAAGTTTTCGAGCGCTGCATGCGCCATGTCCGACCCCCACCATCGCCACCACCATCGTTTGCGTAGCCGTTTTGGCTCAAGCTCGTCTCTTGTCGTGGCCAGGTTCGACGGCTCACCGTTTCCCGCAACTCCTCGTAGTGCACACGCGACGGGCGGACATGGGCGATGGGTGGGGCGACTTGCTGGCAGACCTCTTGGGCGAGGCACCTGATGAGCTGGCCGCGGTTGCCGCGGGCATCGGCGCGGCCGATGTCCCGAGGAGGCCCGCGGTCAAGAGGCCAAACAAGAGCCTGGAGCCCACGGGTCGTCCCTCGCGGAGGGCTTGGCTCGGTCGCTCTGCCCGAAGGGCCGCCCCGCAGCGCCTCCGCCCCACCGGGCAGGCAGTCTGCCCCCGGCCCGCGGGCCGACGAGGGTTCCCGTGCTGCCTGCCGTGCTCCCTCGCGGCAGGTCGACGTCCATGGGAGCGTCTCCTGGCCCGACGGCGGCTCTTCATCGGCAGGCAGACGCTGGGCCGCCGCGGCCGATGGGCCTCACGGCCAGCGGGACAACCAGGGGGGTGCTCCCGCAGAAGCCAGGCCGCCGCCGCCGCAGCGCGGTAGCGTTGGGCCTCGGGCCCGTAGTCCGCTGCCCTTGGCCTCGAAGCGAGGCGGTCTGCCCTCCTACTCCTCTTCGGTTGGCATTGCGCATCGCAGCGATGCTGATGCGGCCCCGCAGGGAGTTGCGCGTGCCGCCGTGGGATTGGAGGAGGCAGACCCTCTTGGGAGAGCGCCGTGCGAGGCTGGAGAGCCTGCGCACGTGCAGTCTTCGCCCGAGTTCCTTCCGAGCAGCGAGCGAACCCTCGGGCTCGCAGGGGCTGAAGAGGAGGTACGTTCGACCCGACCTTCGGAGGCTCGGGCCGCCCCAGACGCACGGCGTTCCACGAGCAGCTGCGTGGACGGGCTAAAACGTTCCTGGGAGCGGGCCCTCCGCACCACTGCCCGCGCCGCTTCCGCGCACCGCGCAGCTGACGACCGTGCGTCGGCCGTCGAGGCCGTTGTGGCCTCGCTTCGCGCCGTCGGGGCGCGCCCGGCGGAGCCCCAGCGGCAGGCTCGAGCCGCGTCGGGCGAGCCACGCGGAACCCCTGATGCAGTGGGCTGGCGGCCTTAGGGAGGCGCCACGCAATGCCGAGAGTCCTGCGCCAGTTCCCCGTTCGCACGAGGTCTTGTCCAGCAGCGAGCGCGCGCGCGGGCGGGAGGGAAGCATGGCTGCCTGGAGCCGCGAAGCGTGGCTCGAACTCGCACGGGTGCGCTCCCGTTGCCCAGGCTGGGGGTCGCTGCGAGCGCAGCAGGTACGACGGCCCCCTGCCACTCTCAGACCCTCCATCGCTGTCGCTAGCAGCCCGCGCCTTCGGGGACCGCGCCCGGGTGAGGTCCGAGGACGGTCTCGGTGGCCGCTGCGGGGTCTGACGCCCTGGATTGCATTTTCCAATCGCGGGAGTTCGTCGGCGGCGGCTTCCCTTCCGATGCGGCAGCATCGGCGCGTCTGCCCCGCGCTCTTCGTTTTGCGAGCGATGGTGGGCTTATGCCTCACATAGGACTCGCCCCTTGTGGCAGCCATGCTGGTTTGCGATGTTCTCGATGCCACTGGAGCTCCTGTCCGCGTGCCGATGTGACCTGTCGCTGCCGAGCGACCGTCTGGATGGGTCCGGCGTTGAGCCCGGCGCTGCCATCCTCTCCATTGAAGCGCCTGGTGCACGTCGGGCTCATCGGGCTCAGCACGCGCGCAGTTTCGACAGCGCGTAAATTCAAATGTGTGATGAGGTCTTGGGTCTGTTGCGTCCCCCCGATCCGCTTGCCCCGTTCGGGCATAGCGGCCCCCGTGCTCGCGGGGCCAGTTGCCGGGGGCCTTTGGCGCGCCTGCCGCGCAGCGGTCAGCTGGCGATGTCTTGTCGCCCGCTTGCTTTCGAGGCTCGGTTACCGCCGCCTCCGCCGCCCTCGGTGCCCCGCCCGAGGCCGCGCGGGCCCAAGTTGCTTTCCTCTGTTCTGCCAGCGACCGCCTCGTCGCCACATATTTGGATGCGGACCCCTTCGAGTGGTCTATCCTTTTTTGAGCTGGCCTCCGCCAAGGCCCCGTCACTTCGCGAGGTTGTTGAGCCGTCCGCGGAGGAGGCCTCCTACGGGGCGGGCGAGACGCAGCGGTTTCTGACGTTCATCTTGCAAGATGAAGAGCTGACTGAACCCCTCCAACAATGATGGCGATGATTTCGGTTCCGACAAGCAAAAGGCTCTCGTTCCTGCATCGCGGTGGCAGGGGGGAGACGCAGCCCAAGCTTGGGCATTATGACGCCGTAGAGAAGGATGCAAGCACAAAGGATCGGCAGCTCGTTAGCGCAAACATGTCTACGACGTCGGTGAGAGCGGGGCGGCGACAATTCAGCCTTCGCCATATACGTCCCGTATCACGTCGACCCTTGGGTCAGCGCGTGAAGTTTGCCACCGCGAACGCTGGCGGACTGGGCTGGCCCCACTTCGACGGCAGAGACCAGCTCCAGACTTTTTTTCGAACAGCAGCGGAGTCACAAAGTTGATGTCAGGTTCTTGTCCGAACTCCATAATGGAACGCGCGGGAGAGAGCCGGGGTGCCCCAGCGACCGTATAGGTGGAAGAGCTCACTTTAATCATGATTGCAGATTGTGGGTTCATCGCTACGACGGCAGCGATGATGGCACGGAGGGAGGCATCCAAGTTATTGGAGAAAGATGGCATTTTATCTGTTGTATGGTATGAGAGATGTGTTGCTACTCCTACGTTGCTGGAGGGTGTGATCCTGCTTGGGTGATGCGTAGTTCTATCCCCAGAAGGGGGGCGCTACTGGATGCCGAAATCAGATATGATGGAACATCGGATGCGAAGCATCGGCGTCAAGGGAAGCACCGAGGCCCAACGATTGCAGGAGGTGGCTGGAACGGCCATGCGGGGAGGGACACAGCCCCGAACGACATGCAATTTTTTTTTTTGGGGGGGGGGCATATGATGACACGGAGTGCGACGGATGGGGGAAACGCATTCCTGAAATTTCTAACGAGTGCCAGCTTTGCGCGTGCCGATTCTTTTATACATATCACGCCGAGGGGGGCATGGAATCATATTTGGGCAATGCTATGAACTGGGCAAATGTGTTAAGGGCACGGAATTACACAAACTGGCGTTGGGGATATCTTTGCACGCATGGGGCATGTCAGACCATTTACCCAAACACCTAGAACTGGAAATACCAAGTGCGGGCAACAAAGCTAAACGCACAGCCAGGCGGCACTTGGACATTCAAGGACAGAGAGAAGCGAGACAGAGAGCGATCAAACCCCCGTTAGCTATCCGCAGATTCAGGAGCTTATCGGCGCGATCAGAGGAGCTGAGAGCAGCGCCGAGAACGAG